TTTGGCAATGCAGATTTTAATTAGGTGGGAGAGGACTTTGATTCTCCTTTTTCCATTATTACTACTTGATGCGTCTCAGGAAAATAATGTTTACTCCTTGGCGCATACATTAGTACAAGAGATTTCAGCTGTTTCAAGCCTTTAAGTTACTGATTTGGTGGGGGAGAGGCATTTTTTTGTTGGTTTTGGGGTTGTGGGTTTTTTTCCCCCCTGTCAGTATTGGGAGTGAATTGCCTGCAGTAAATTTAAATTTACTGAGAACTGGCTGCATTTTCCTCACCATGTTTTGTGAGTTCTTCTAGAAGTAATTTGTGCTGTTTCCAGTTTATGGCACTAAGGTTCAAAAGTGTTGTTTTGGTAACTCTCACATCTGGTTTGTTCGTTACTGTAAGACTTGACTTGGTCTGCATTTATTTTGGACATCTTTAAAATGGCATCACTAGCAAAGGAAAATGTCAGCGATATCTAATGGGACAATATTGAGATTCTGTTGAGGAGTTCTCGTGTACTCTTCTCAATAAAGTTTCACAAGCAGTATACAAAGTTACATTACTTTTATGTGAAAAAGAATAACATCAAATAGCCTACGTGCATGTAATTTAATAGATGTGTCTGTATATGCGATTTATTTAGTTATATCTTAGAACATGATAATTTAAAACTAAAAGCTAAAGCCAATTTGCCTCTGAAACTTAAAAGGAGATGAAATCATTAAACATTGCAATGCTTAGCAAAACAGTTTGTGATGACAACAAACCACCTTTAAATGCCTGTAGCCTCCCCATAGTAAGGGAGAAAATTTTCAATCAAGTACCTTTTTCACGTTTACCTTATACCGGTTAGTGAAAACTTGGAAAAAGAATGGGAAACCAAGCGGAGAGCAAAAAAGCAGGGAAGTCTGTTTCTCAGAAAGTGATGGTGTCCTGCTGTTTCAGATCACCGTGTAGATGGAGGCCTTAGAACAAACATCTTCTGTTCACTGGCTCTGAATAGTGTATATTAAAATACATAATTTAGTTTTCAGTACTTAAAGAATTTGAATACATGTGGTCTTCTCTTTTAGCCAGTGTATCTTAAGGTTCGTTTTATAAACATTTTCAGATGCTGATTTTGTCCCTTCCACATCCAGTTCCTGTCTTATTCCAAAAAATAGCACAACAACAGAAATGAGTTGAAATAAATACAACATTAGAAATAGTTCTGGCTAATTTTCACATGATATTTGAAAAAGGGCTTTTGCATGTACAGTTGCATAAAGAAAGTGATGTAATTGCTTAAGTATTTGTGTAGTACATATTTCTGATTGGTAAAGGAACTTTTTACACTGAATTTGGTAATAAATCTGTACTTGAAAGCCAGTATATCTTAAAGTTGCCAACCTATGAAAATCAACGTTTCTTCAGGAAAACAGTGAAAGCACAAATGCAATAAAGAATTAAAAGCTTTCAAATAGAGTTCACAAACTAAAATTAGCAGTTTGAAACGGCAGTGATTTTTAGATCAGTCTGCTCTGGATGGCAGAAATTGAATTAACCAAATGTTCAAGTTTTTCAACGTTTTACACAGTTGTTGCTGTCTTACCATACTGTTATGCATCAAAATAGAAATCAACTCCATGTCTTGACCTCTTGCTTTGCACTTCCCCACCTGATTTCTGTTCCCAAAATAGCGCTAATAAGGTGAACTAATCTGTCTGGGGAAAGTTGAAGACTCGAGGCGGTATTATATTACAGGGTGATGGAGAAGCAGCTATGTATGCTAACAACTAAAACTCGACTGGGTTTTTTTCTCTGGCCTTGAAGCCAGCTGGCACTGAATGAGTCTCTGACCTTCCAAACCAGAGCGGACACGTCCCAACTGCCCGCCGGGTCCCGGGTCCTTGCTGACCCCTGAAACGTGCTTGGGAGCAGCCCGGAGGAGTGCTGGGTGGCCTGGGTCAGCGCTGATCTCTAATGAGAAGATGGTGGAGTCCTTTGGCACCGCTTCCCTTAGGACTGCAGACTTGGCGTCAGGCGTGGTAACGTGGGGAGAGGGAACCCAGGAGGGGAACAAACGCCGCTGCGGCTTCCTAAAGACACTGCCTGTCCTCTGGGTGTCTTTTATATGCCAGTTGATATAGCTGCAGAATAACTTGCCTCCCCCACAAAAAAAAGTTGGATTAATTTCTTAGAACACCTTGTAAAATAGTAAGATAGTTGCTATCGTGGGGGCAGGTTAAACAGAGGAGATTTGAAGGAGTTTATCATCTTAGACGTTCTTATGCTCCAAACTAGTGCTTCAGTTCGTGCGTAGTAAGATAATAAAGAAAAAAAGGCTACAATACTAAACATCCTTTTCAGTGCAGAATCCATGAGAAACTGATAACTGATAAGTGTTTTAACAGGTACAAAAGTTTATTATCAAGCCAATTGTGTTGTTCTTATGCTCCAAACTAGTGCTTCAGTTCGTGCGTAGTAAGATAATAAAGAAAAAAAGGCTACAATACTAAACATCCTTTTCAGTGCAGAATCCATGAGAAACTGATAACTGATAAGTGTTTTAACAGGTACAAAAGTTTATTATCAAGCCAATTGTGTTAGCGCTGGAACATGTAAAAAAAAAAAAAAAATTCTGAATGTCCAGGATTTTAGGAGAGACATATAGCCAATCCAATAAAAAAAAAATCTCATCTGATCCAGTCAAGTAAAAACTGTGTGTAGGAGGTGCCAATTCAGTTGACTTTGTAGAGGTGCACTTAATATTGCTACAATTCCCTAAGAGAAGTTGATGGTTGTTTCTTCAACTGTTTGAAAAATTTGATTTTTTTGGCATTCAGTTATGTGCAAAACTGCCTCTTACATTGTTAGTGGAACAATTTAATCTTCTAAATCTCTTGTTGAGTTTATTTTTAGTGAAATTTCACAAACTTTTTCCAAGGTATTAAGTATTTAGGTAAAAAAGCAATACCAGAACTACTGGAATACATTATTATTATTATCACTAGTGTGATTTAACAGCTGGAATCAAAGAGAGCTGCACGGTGAGGCTGTGCAGTACTTTGAAGGCTAGCGGTTATCTTGAACTACAATTGTTAAAACTTTGTTTTAAGATGTAAACAAGTTTATTTTGACAATTGAAAGAATTTGTATTCTGGGTGGAAAGATGAATTGAATGGAGGAAGAAACAGTTATTTTTTTCTTACTTTAGGGTGAAAATAGTATGAGAAATTACTTTCTCATACTTGGTGTTTGAAATATGTATATATGAGTACCCGGAGAGCTAGGAGTGGCAGGGCCAGTCTGAATGTCGCATTAAGTGCATGTTAGCTAGTTTTTTTTTTACTCTCAACTGGTGTAAGACAGTGGACTTCCTAGGTACAGATCAATATGTTTAAAAAACAAAACCCCAAAAAAAACAAAAGAAGGACAATGTCTTCACCTACTAAAATTTTGGATATCATAAAGACATTGTGGAGAAAGAAAAAAATCAAATACTTAATTTGGCAAGAAAAGGTTGTGAAAACAGAAAAGTAGGTTTTGCCCAATACTTCACCTTGTTCCCCAAGTTGATCTGGTCTTGTTTAAAGCCCCCAAAAATGCACTTGCAACTGAATTTATCTGAGCAATAAACGTGTAGCTTTTGTACGGGTTTGATGTACATCACTTTTGTTTTGAGACTGCTTACAGCTTTTCAGATTAAAAATAAAATTTGACAGAAGTATGTAAAATATGAGCTTACATTAATCTCTGCATGACCCAACACCCCATGATGTTATGTACAGCTTTTGGTTTGCATTTTTGTGGTGTGATGCTGTCTTCCTTGCAATCATGCAATTATTTATATGAATGTGTTTAAGCACTAAACACGAGATCCCTTTGGAAGCAGGGTCCACTCTAATTACTCTTCTCTTGTCAGCCGAAAACTGGCTCTGTCTGTGGGGCTGCAGGCGCCCTGCTCGGTAAGCACGGTTGGGGTTATGTTCCTGGCTGGCCACCCTGGTGGAACCGGCTGCTTTGAGCTGGTTTTCTCTGAAGCGGACAGGCTGTATTCATCTATTCTGTATCGCACTTGGCTGCGAGCATCATCTAGGTCTTGTGTGCTGCTCCTGTGACCTCAGGGAATGAATTTTTGTCTGTTTCTTTTAAGTTTGGAGTGTTTGAGACGGCCTACATGGGTGATGAAATCAAGCATGAAATCAAGGATTGTGTGTTGAATGGCGTGAGGATATGTTCATTGAGAATGGGAAGCCTGTTGAGAAGTTGTTAACAGACTGGGATGGGCAGAGGGAGTTGCGCTTGGTGCAGTCTTACCCGTACTGGCGCTGGGAATGGTCCCTGGAGTGCAGTGTTCCCAAATCTGTGCCCAGACTTTGTCTTCAGAAAAGCTGTTTGGAGCAGTTTAGGTGGCCATTCTTTGGTCCTCCATGTGTAGCAGGTTTGGTGTTCGCAGGAGGGACAAATGACCGGAAGGAACTGGTATGCCATTATAGGCATACCAACCTGGTAGACGACTGTGCCTCATTGGATTCTTGCAAAGCTGGTCCTGGAGCAGGTTGTGGAGCTCCCATGCCATCAGGTGCTAGCTAGGGCTTCAGCTCCCTGCTCAGTAAGGGTATACAATACGGCACCAAAAACTGTTTCTGGTGATTTGAAGGGACAACGTGGTAAACGCGCAGTTATGCAGTGATACTTTTTTTTTTTTCTCAGATTTGAAGGCATCTGTTATTTAGAATTGATAATGAACCTGTACAATGCATAAAATGCATGTGAACACTGTCTTCTACCTGTGCAGTTCTCCAGTGCAGTCTTTAACGATGTGTTTTACCATTCAGTGACTTGCCTTTGTCTCGCTTAACAGCCTTGCATGACACTTGTACAGAAAAATACACATCTTGTCCCTAAGAAACAGGCAAGGATACCATTTAAGTGATGTCTTTTATGTTTTGACTTACTCTAAATTGCATTTATTGTCAGATGAGTTCTTGTCTTACAAACTTGCCATATCTCTCCATGAACTTTCTAGTTAATTTCTTTGTGAAAATACAGAGAAAGTGTACCGGGCTTCTGAAATCTTACAGTAATATTTTCAGATATTACTCTAAAGGATGAACCGTTTCTTCCAGCTTAAAATATTAAGCCAGCATTGCTTCAGCTTGCTTTGCAGGGCTTAACTATATCTGCAGTTATGTAAGTTTCAGTTATGTGATATTTCATGGGCATCTATTTAAACATACAACTATTATTTTTAGTTGAAATATAGACTATATAAAGACTTAAAAGATGTGGGATCAAGGTGGACAACCTTGGCAGCAATGGCCTTTGAACCAACAGCAGTGGATGCAGTCATTTCAGCACCAGCAAGATCCAAGTAAGTATATAGAAAGCTTTGTGGATTAATTTTTTTTTTTTTAATCTGTTGTCATTTGAATTTTTGAATCTTTGTTACAGAGCATGACTGATAGTTGCTTTTTTGTAGCTGTTCTCGAGGTAATACACTTATGATGCTTTTCTGAACAACTAGAAAAAATAGAAAACATCCATTGATTCCGCATGTTTTGACATAGTTAATATTTAATATGCAAAACACAGGCAAGCAACCTGAGGTATCCTGGACAAATTATCAACATTTTACCAGTCATACAGATGAGCACTTAGACGTCATGTACTTGTACAGAGTCTGTATCCCTGTCAGTTCTTTAGCCAAGCTGAATCACTTGTTTGAGAAAATCTGCTTTTTTATCCAGTACCTGTGGCAGAAGTACTAATGCAGATGTATACACAGAAAAAACTCACTGGAGGATAAGTATGATACTTGTTTTAGGTTACAGCAGCGATGATCATGATGTCTTGTGTGGATTTTTTTTCCCCACCAAAAAAATCCCATTTTAAACAAACGAACAGAATGTATCTTAAATTGAAAGTGAGGTGACAACAATTGACAATATCAAGAGAAATACAGAAATGGATAAAGAGAGTGGACGTGTGTATTTAATACTCGGGCAGAGTGATCAGGCACACTGGTTTTACATTGCTTTCTGTCACTTCAATTTCTGTAACTTCAGTAGGGAGATTTCCTGACTTGATAATGAGCGGAGGACATACTAGTGTCTTTATCTGAGAGTGCAATTTATTTGCTTACTGGTAGGAATAATAGCAAAGAAAAAAGCGGGGAGAAAACTGTAACATAAAATAGCATTCCAGAAATCAGGGGTTATGCAAAGAGTATACATTGCAAAATGTACTTTTCTAACTATGCATCTTTCTTACACTTGAATCTTTATCAATTTAGAATTTAGGGCTATATATATTTCTTTCTGATATCAAAATGAGTTCACTTACGAAAAAGGTGTATTACTATCACCCCAAAGGTGTATTAGTGCTAATGTGAGCCTAAAATAATTTGCCTTATGGCATTTTGAACATATGCAGAGAAACTCTACTTCAGCAAGTATGTACACTGACATTTGCTTTCAGTTTGTTTTACTGTACACTGTGAATAAGTTTTAATGGTGCTCATGGTACTTGCTGAAGGTAAACATTGCCCGTTTCTCTTGAGCAATGAGACATGTAATTGAGAAACACTGTTAAACTTCAGACTTGTGAATACTAACCTTTTGAATTTCCTCTGTTTATTTTAGGCCAGATTGACTGGGCTGCATTAGCTCAAGCATGGATTGCTCAGCGAGAAGCCTCAGGGCAACAGAGTGTAGTGGAACAACAAGGAATGATGCCAAATGGACAGGATATTTCAGGAATAGAGTCTGGTCCAAACAACCATAATAATTTTCAGGGGGATCCCAACTTCAACAGAATGTGGCAGTCAGGTTTGTTTTCCTTCCCATTCATTCCTTTTTTTCATGTAGTGAAATTTTATTTTTGTCAGATGTTTTTGGGTGTGAATATGCCCTGTCCCTCACGTTTCAAGATGCAAAAGTAGTAGTAGCATCAGCTAATTAACTGAGCATCACAGCTTCTATTTTCCAGTCAGGTGTTCCAAAAAAATAGGTAACAGTACAGATACAAAGTCTGATAAGACAGATCGGTAATCTCTATATAAAATGTTTTATAATATACACATGCAAAATATTTGTTCAGTCCCTGAATGTTGTAGAAAGATAAAATGTGAGTTGGCAGTTATATATTTATTTCCCTGGATCTTATTCTTATATCTTAAGTGTTTTGTTGTTTATCTCACTGCACTAGGAACAGCAGCACTGAAGGCAACAGGATGCCTCAGAATCCTCAGCTGCTGCCCTCTCCTGTAGTGTAATACCTGCTTCTGGCATGATCTTGACATGTAGAATGAGTTCATAGTATAACTGGCAGACGCTGGCTTTAGGTGTCTTAAAATCTTGAAAAAGGAGATGAGCAAAATTCTGTGTGTAAAATAATGTTTTTTATTACATGTTTCATATACTTAATGTTTGCCCTTTTTGACTTACGTCATCTGTGTAATTTTTCAGTTATTGTAAGTTAAAGTTGGTTGAACGCTTCTGTTAGTATCAGACATTTTCAGTTCTTTATAACGTTGTCAAAACTTCAGTTTTGGCCCCCAAATTATTTTCTTTTAAAAACTTCATAAAATAACACTGGCAATAAGCATGGGGTAGAGATTGGGTATTTTCTGCTAAGAGTTTTTCTGGAGTTGTTTCCTGAAAGGTTTGTTATGTCATCAGACTATAATGCAATTTGAAATGTGTGACCAAGGCAGTTAGTAAGCCTGCATGCGTGCCCTCTGTCTTGGTGAGAACTGCCCTTCCTGCTTGATTCTGTTAATAATTAAAAGAATAACACCTCCAATTTTGACTGTGACTATTCAAATTTGTTTAAGTGCAGTGTTTGATAAAAGTAGGCTTAAAATGTCGTTGGCAGTTCTTACATGTGCATAACAAAGGGAGGTAGCCATCAGGTTTCACTTAAATTTCACCTACCTGCCCTGGGCTATAAGTTCTTGTAGTCATGTGTAAGAATTTTAACTTTACTATGTGGCAGCACATAGAGTGTATTTTAGCTGTATTTCTGTATAGTAAGTAGGCATTTTCACAGAAATCCTGTGTCATTATTGGACAACTTTGTTTTTCATATGATCCTGTGGTGGTGAGTTCTTCCTCCTCTTCGTCTGTGAGGTGAAAGAGAATAATATCTTAAGTGGTAATTTTTGCAAATAGTCACAGAATGGTAAAAGTGAGGAAGAAGTTTCGCTGATAATTATAAATGTTTGGTGCTCATGCTCGCCCAGAAAATGCAGAACAGGAAAACATCTTGGATCTAGGAGTGAGAATAATGTAACACCTTTTGTTCACAGAATCACATCTAGTCCAACCCCCCTGCCAGAGCAGGGTCACCTACAGCAGGTTGCACAGGACGGCGTCCAGGTGGGTTTTGAACGTCTCCAGTGTGGGAGACTCCACAGCCTCTCTGGGCAGCCTGTTCCAGTGCTCTGCCACCCTCAAAATAAAGAAGTTCCTCCTCATGCTAAGATGGAACTTCCTATGTTCAAGTTTGTGCCCATTACCTCTTGTCCTATCACTGGGCACCATTGAAAAAGGACTGTTCCCATCCCCCTGGCATCCTCCCTTTAAGTATTTATAAGTATTGATAAGATCCTCCCTCAGTCTTCTTTTCTGTAGACTAAAAAGACCCAAGTTCCTCAGCCTTTCCTCATAAGAAAGATGCTCCAATCATCTAATCATCTTAGTAGCCCTTTGCTGGGCCCTCTCCAGCAGTTCCCTGTCCTTCTTGAACTGGGGAGCCCAGAACTGGATGCAGTACTCCAGATGCGGCCTCACCAGGGCAGAGTAGAGGGGGAGGATGACCTCCCTCGACCTGCTGGCCACACTCTTCTTGATGCACCCCAGGATGCCATTTGTCTTCTTGGCCACCAGGGCACATTGCTGGCTCATGGTCATCCACTTGCCCCTGTTGAATTTCATAAGGTTCCTCTCCGCCGAACTCTCCAGCCTGTCTAGATCATGCTGTATGGCAGCACAACCTTGTGGCGTGTCAGCCACTTCTCCCAGTTTTGTGTCATCAGCAAACTTGCTGATGGTACACTCTATCCCTTCATCCAGGTCATTGGTGAATATATTGATCAGGACTGGACCCAGTACTGACCCCTGAGGAACACCACTTGTTGCTGACCTCCAACTAGACTCTGCACTAACCACAACCCTCTGATCTCGATCTGTTGGCCACTGTTCAATCCACCCCACTGTCCATTCATCTAACCGACACTCCCTAAGCTTGCCTCTGAGGATGATGTGGGAGACAGTGTCGAAAGCCTTGCCAAAGTCAAGGTAGACAACATCGACTGCCCTCCCCTCATCCACCCATCCAGTCACACCGTTATAGAAGGCAATCAGATTAGTCAGACATGACTTCCCCTTGGTGAATCCATGTTGACTACTTCTGATAACCTTCTTTTCCTGCAGATGCTTGGAGATGACACCCAGAACAAGCTGTTCCATCATCTTTCTAGGGATGGAGGTGAGGCTGCATAGCCTGTAGTTTCCCAGGTCATTCTTCTTGCCCTTTTTGAAGACTGGAATGACATTGGCTATCCTCCAGTCCTCAGGCACCTCACCTCTTCTCCAGGACCTATCAAAGGTTATGGAGAGCGGCCCAGTAATGACTTCCGCCAGCTCTCTCAGCACTCGCAGGTACATCGCATCAGGCTCCATGGACTTGCAGGTATCCAGTTTACTTAATTGGTCTCTACCTTGTTCCTCCTCAACCAAGGGAAAAGTCTGCCTTCTTCTAGACTTTCTCTGTTACCCGCAAAGTCTGGGAGTGCTGAGGACTGGCCTGAGCAGTGAAGACAGAAGCAAAGAAGGCATTTAGCAGCTCTGCCTTCTCTACGTCATCTGTCAGCACAGCACCTGTCTCGTTCAACAGCGGGCCCACATTTTCCCTAGTTTTCCTTTTGCCTCCTATATACTTAAAGAAACCCTTCCTATTGGCCTTGACATCCCTCGGTAGGTTCAATTCCAAGGCTGCCTTGGCTTTCCTTGTTTCATCCCTGCATACCCTGACAGCATTCTTACACTCTTCCCAAGTGATCAGCCCCTTCTTCCAGCTACTGTAAACTCCCTTCTTCCACCTGAGCTTTTTTAGAAGCTCCCTGCTCAGCCAGGCAGGTCTCCTGCTTCTCTTGCCTGATTTCTTGCTCTTCGGGATGCACTGATCCTGAGCTTGGAGGAAGTGATGCTTAAATATTAGCCAGCTCTCTTGAGCCCCCTTACCCTCTAGAGCCCTCTCCCATGGGATTTCTCCAAGCAATTCCTTGAAGCAATCAAAGTTAGCCCTCCTGAAGTTTAAAGTTTCAACTCTACTTGTCATTTTGTGCACACTGCACTTAATCATGAACTCTGTCTTCTCGTGATCACTGCAGCCAAGTCTGCCCCCAACCTTAACATCCTCCACCAGTCCCTCTTTGTCAGTACTAGGTCCAGTAGTACACCTCTCCTTGTGGGCTCCTCCACCACCTGAGTCAAAAAGTTATTATCAATGCACTGGAGGAACCTCCTGGACTGTACATGCCCAGCTGTGTGGCCTTCCCAGCAGATATCAGGGTAGTTGAAGTCCCCCATGAGAACCAGGGCCTGCGATTGTGAGGCAGTTCTCACCTGTCTGTAGAAGGCCTCATCAACTTCCCCATCCTGATCAGGTGGCCTGTAATAAACACCCACAACGGCATCTCTCCTGTTACCCTGCCCCTTGATCCGTACCCACAAGGTCTCAACTTGCTCTTCATCCCCCCCAGGGAGAGCTCGATACATTCCAGTTGCTCTCTCACATAAAGAGCGACTCCACCACCTCACTTCACTGGCCTATCTATCCTAAAGAGAACATAGCCCTCCATGACAGCATTCCAGTCGTGTGAGCTATCCCACCACGTCTCAGTAATTGCAATGAGATCATGGTCCTGTGACTGCACACAGATCTCTGACTCGCCTTGTTTGTTCCCCATGCTGCATGCATTAGTGTATAGGCATTTCAGAGAGCCCAATGAGTGTGTAGTTTTTGCCCTTGAGGAGTGGTGGGCCTTCAGATTCTCAAAAATACTAGCACTCTGCCCCACAAGTGCTGAGCTACTACCCCCAGGCGCCTCTTTAGCGAGCCCAGTTACATGCCCATCCCTCTTCCAATCTAGTTTAAAGCTCTCTCAATGAGCCCTGCTAACTCTAGGTCCAAGAGCCCTTTTCCCCCTGCGAGACAGGCTTTTCCCATCTGCTACCAGCAGGCCTGGTGTCCTGTAAATCAGACAGTGGTCGAAGAACCCGAAACCCTGCCGGTAGCACCAGGTTCGGAGCCAGTCATTGATCCGTTGGCTCTTCCTGTTGTTAACAGGGTAGAACGTGGCAATGCGTTCTGTGATCATTGGGTATATCATTCAAAGAATTTGTTGTTTTCGCAATTTTTTGGGACATTGATAAGGACTGTGTTGATGCAGATAGGACACAGCTTCCCTTCATTTAGGCAATATCATTCTTAATGTGTAAAAGCAGTCACAGCAGACAAACTAAATCATAGCATGCATGGCTAGCCAAAGTTCTCCTCGTGTATTTACTCTGTTTCTATAAAGCTTCATCTTTCCTCGTATCCTTCCAAATTTATTTTTGGATCTAAAAATCCTTTACATGCTACTAATAAAAAAGCAAAATGGCAATCTGAAAACCGACTGCATAACTAGCAGCCAATTCATTTTGAAGGGATTCATGTTCTACAAGTGAAAACAGCATCTATTGTATGCGACTTGCAAGTTTTCAAGTCGGTTGACTTGAACTAAACTGGGCATTAAAGTAGTGTCAAATGTTAACACATACATTTATGAACAATATCTCCTGTATGCTGTACTTAAGGGACAGAATTCTTTATCCTTTAGAATACTTCAGAAGTATTGACTCAGGAAAAAGATTGGATTAATCAGCTAAATATGACCTCCCAGAATGACAGAGTGAAAGGAGTGATACAATCTTTGAACGTACAAGGAAAAAAAAAAAAGTAGAAAAACGATGTTAACCCTTTTTAGTTGCTACAGTAATGGATCTAGTTATGATGCAGATGGGAAGGACAGTAAAAATTAGAAAAATGGAAAGAATTATTCCAGGATTGGATGGAAGGTAGGAGTTAACCTGAGAGGCTAGGTATTAATTCTGTTATTGATGAAAGTTACAAGGTAGTTCTGTCAGAGTCTATAAATATCTGTATAGTGGACATAATTTTTAAACTGTCTTCTTAAGCTTATGGCCACATGAGCTTTGTCTTCTTAAGAAGATTAAGCTTATGGCCGTGTGAGCTATTAATTCATTCCTTAAACCCTTTTCACTCTGTTAGCCAACTGTAACTTATGTTTGAGGCTTTATAACTGTAGCCTATGCTGGAACCTCTGCTAGATATTGGAGAATCCAGGGAATCATCTGCTATCAAGACACAAGACTTTGTAAAGCAGGTTTCAGTGGTTCTACTGCTCACAAAACCATTTGCTTTCCATAATACATCTTTTAAGTCTACTATGCAAAGGAATAAAATAGCTTGTTAATTTGAAAGTTGAAACAACATCGAAGTAGAGAAGTAGGAGCATTTCTTTAACAGTTCACACAATTTGTAGGTGCTATGGCAGACTCAATATCACCGGAAATCTATAAAAACAAATTTAACGCATCTCTGTGTCAGTCTAGTTCTGCTGCCCCTCCCCGTTTTAGTTCAGCTACAGCTATTTGTATTTTTTTCATTTAGTTGAAGAAATTATTGAGGCAGTATAATACAGTCTGTAGATTGGTGATTCTTCATAACTTTATCATCTTTGTTGTTTTCAGGAACCTTGTGATAAACGCAAGAACATTTAGTGGTTGGCGACTCATATAAATTGTACTAACTTGGTATTGAATTGTATTCTAAATCCTAAACAGAATGGGGAATGCCTCACCAACCCCCTCACCCACCTCCAGATCAGCAGTGGATGGCTCCAACCCCAGGTCAAATGGAAATTGTTCCTCCGTCTGAAGACAGCAACAGTCAGGACAGTGGGGAATTTGCTCCTGACAACAGGCATATATTTAACCAGAACAATCACAACTTTGGGGGACCTCCCGATAACTTTGCAATGGGGCCAGTGAACCAGTTTGACTATCAGGTGAAACATATTTGTTGCTTTAATATTGTAGACGCGCAGAGTCCCTTCCATGGATGTGTTCCTCTAATATCATCTAGCGGCGACTTTCATTCTTCAGTTCTACAAACATCTACAGAATCTGTTATCTGCTAAGATACATTTTTACCACATACTTTACAGAAGAGACTTTAGAGTTTTCAGTTCTGTTCTGAGTCCAAAGGGCTTTTTTTTCTATACTAGTAATGAGAAATGGCTGTTGTCTGCAATATTAAAATGAATCACTGTGTTCCAGTATATAAATTAACATTATGTAGTTTTGTATAAAAAAAAAAAGAAAAAAGAAAAGGGAAAAAAGTTCAGAAATACATACTTAAATACACTAGATAATGTAACACAGGGAACAGTCCTATATTTGCAGGGAGATAGACTGGATGATCCATTGATCTTTTCCATATCTATCTACTGTGATTCTTTGAATAAACAATGGTATTTCTAAAAAAAATCCACATCCAATTTTTTCTTCATTCTGGCATATAAGTTGCATAGCATAATAAATCTGTAGGTGGTTTTAGCACTAATAATTGCAGGGGGCATTGCCCAAATATTTAAATACAAAGAAGTTTTGGATGTTTCCCCTATTTTCAGTATTTTTCTTTCAAAACTTTTGATATAAATGACGAACTGTACCTGTTAAAACACCTACCTCCTGTTCATAAACAAACCCAAGGGAAGACAGGCAGAAATGTGTTTCTGTATTCTGGCCTACTTTTCTCTATTATTAAATGCTCTTGTTCAGCAACATTGTTAGGAAGTGGACCAATATTTTCAAACACACTAGTTTGTTATAATTTCCTTTGTTTACTATTGTGGGACCAACTCTCAAAATTAATTTCTCTAAGTACTACAGAAAAATTGTTTTGCAGTGAATGACAGAGGGATGCTTGGCCTGAAATTGTAGTGGAAGCGTGCTTCTACCACTAGTAAATAGATAGTCAATAGAACATAATAAAAACATAATAATAAAAAAAAAATCCTCCTAAACACTCTCCTCTTAAATAGTTTCATTAGGCATTTCTGGGCAGCAAATATTAAAATGAAAACCCCCTCATGTATGCCTCAAGACTTGCGACTTTTGGATTGTATAGAGCTCGCTCAGAACCCAGGGTCTGCACTAAACTTGCATATTTATGCATTTAATATTTTAATCAGCCATACTAATAACATCTGTGAATGATTACTGGAAAGTGCACAGTGCAAAATTCTTTTGGAATAAAAGCTTGAACTTTTCATTTTTGTCCTCATGTTGTAGTTACAAGGAAAGGCTGCTAACATAGCTAGACTTTTAAACCTTAATTTTGTATACTGTTCATTTAAGTGCATGCTGTGTTGATTAGCTGACGAGCAACTGCTGGAGATAGATGGTGGTTATAGGGCTTAATGTTTAGCACAATATGAAAGGAGATGGGTTGAAGCCCTTTCAGCTTCGTTAGTATCCCTGCTGAAATCTAAGTTTACTCATTAAGTATTTAAGGAAAACTTGTTTCTTGGGGACCACAGAAAAAGATATTGAGAGATCTCAGTAGCCTAGAAATCATGGATTCCTACTTGCATGGATTTCTGTAGACCGACTTGCGCACATGCTGTATTTAGTGTTACATGTAAAGAAAAATAAACTGCATTACTCTTTCAGCATGGGGCTGCTTTTGGTCCACCTCAAGGTGGATTTCATCCACCTTATTGGCAGCCAGGACCACCAGGGCCGCCAGGTCCACCAGCACCTCCTGCACCTCCTCAAAATCGAAGGGAAAGACCCTCATTCAGAGACCGACAGCGTTCACCTATTGCGATGCCTGTGAAGCAGGAGCCTCCACAGATTGGTACATGTTAACCACTCCTTAATGAAAAAACATAAAAGCTGTGTCTTGAAAATTTGAAGACTTTTTTTTTTTCTTTTTTTTTTGGTAGTAAAGTAAAAAAGGAGGGAAAGAAGAAGCTACTGTAGATGGGGTTTTCCCCACAATCAGATGTGTGGCTTGTTTGGATTGGGGTGGAGGGTTTGCTTCTTTGTTCTTGTTATTTTTTTTCTTTTGGGGGGGAAGGCTGTTTTCAACTTACAAACTGTAAACCTTGCTTATGTAGATGCTGTGAAGCGTAGAACTCTGCCTGCTTGGATTCGTGAGGGCCTGGAAAAGATGGAACGAGAAAAACAGAAAAAATTGGAAAAAGAGAGGATGGAGCAGCAGCGTTCACAGATGTCTAAAAAAGAAAAAAAGGAAAGTGAGGAGGCTGAAGAAGGGGATGGACCACGGTTACCTCAGAAAAGTAAATTTGTAAGTAGAAAGGTTTGCTTTTTGCTCAGGTTTGTATATCCCGAAAGGTATCTTTTTCAGTCTCAAACAGAGACTGTGTATTCCTGGTTATCTCTTTGTTTCTGCTGCTTAAAGTTAAGGTGCTGCTTTGTTGATATTTACTTGGTGCTTTGAAGTTGTTAATGTCTGAGAGGTAAAAGTATATTATTTGATCTGTCGTAGCAAAGAAACAACGATGAAATTAGGCTTTTTTCTTTTCTGTATTTTGGGAACGCACATGGCCTTTGAAGGTTTGAGTTCTAAATCAGTAGCTGGACAAATTCAGATACCTGTATTTGCTAGGAAGTCTTGTGTTGCCTTCACTTTAGCAGTTATCTCATTTGTTTGCAGTTCTGAGTACCTGTCTAGTAGTGAACTGACGACTATGTATTTACTTATCTCGTGTGGTACCTGCATGTTTATTAGGAGGGGAGAAAAGAAATAGAGTTTTATGATAGCTGTAATACAGATTTCAGTACAAAGTAAATCATGTTGACTCTCATAAATAGAAAATAATGAGCTTGACATCCAAGTTTTTCCTGAAATGCATGATGCTGTTCTTGTAGGACAGTGATGAGGAAGATGAAGATGCTGAAAACACAGAAGCTGTAAGCGTTGGGAAAATCAGCAGAAGTCCATCCCCAGCTCCTCAAGAGGAGCAAAGTGAACCAGAAATGACAGAAGAAGAAAAAGAGTATCAAATGGTATTAATAATGTAGTTCTCACTAAGTATTCCTGTCTATTTGTGCATATTTTTGGGGCATGGCAAAGTAAAACACTTTTTCTCTGCCTGATACTGTCAATAGAGGTTTAGTACATATCATACAGTAAAGCAAGGTTATATTTGCATGTCTCTTTGTATTGCTGTCTTTCTCATATAGAAAAGGATACAGGTTTTATAACTCATATTTAGCACAACAGTGAGAGACTGTAATGACTGTAATCTTTACATTGATTGTTATTAATTCCGTGGTTTGGCTAAACTTGTCAAATTCCTGAAAACTTTTAATGATTAAATGCACCTGTCTGAAATCTATGGTTCAACCTCAGCTCCTGTGAAAGGGAATTTAAGAAATGTATCCTTGCAAGAAGGTGCTAGAAACCCGAGTCCTAGACCAGCAACAGTTTTGCTGTGCAGAAACGTCATGCTTTGAAAATCAGTTGTATGCTAACTGTATAATTGAAACCTGGTTTATGAAGGCCCTGAATTCTAAAAAATTTGATGAATGTATTTTTTTTTTAAAGTACGTGGGCAGACTGAGCAGCTGGGAAAACTAGCTGCCAACATTTCAATTTTTGTAGTAAATAAGTAATAATAAAATCCTATATAAGTAACCTCTGATGACTTTTGCAGGATTGGGTTCAGTGAAGCAGCATACCAGACAGAAAGGTGCTCTTTATTTTTTAAAAGAATAAATGGGATCAGTCTAAGTACATTTCTGATTTACATATTCATTTGTTGTATCATCTTTGACATTGGGAATCAGTGCCCTGGGTAGTTGTGCGTAGTACATGTGGATACACTTCACAGTCAAAGTACAAACTGTTCTGGAAGTTTTGAAATCAGGTCAAATTTAAACAATTTCAGACTTACGTTTTTAAGTCATGTCTGTTGAAAGAAATAATTAAATAAAATGTGCAGGAGAGTACTTTTATAGCCATCAAAAGAAGTGAAGCTCTATAGATATAATTTGAATGCAGCATTTATTCAAGAGGTTTTAGCCTTTAATTGTACTTGCACTTTTCTTCAGATGATGCTGACAAAAATGCTGCTGACAGAGATTCTCTTAGATGTCACAAATGAAGAAATTTATTATGTGGCCAAAGATGTTCACCGTAAAGCAACTAAAGGTATGCCGGTTCTTCTTTTTTCTTTTTTTTTTCCCCTTAGTTTCTTCTTTGAATATTCTATATTTGCATGTCTCTAGAGCATTTAACCTCCATAGTTATCCCCCAAGAACAATTTCAGTATAATGCATTCAACTTGGTAGAGTTCAAATCCAGTAATCATGTACTGTTGTCCTGTGCAGTGTATTGTGAGTTACTTCAGTTATTCCATTTCTTTCATACAATTCATTTATTTAGTTACAATGGTATCTGTGTCAGTGGCTCTTGAGTTGTAGCTTTTTCTTAATGCTATCATCTTTATCTCAAGTTCTTAGCTGTTCAGAAGTGAAAAGAGACGAACTTTGAGTCCTCAATTAGTAATTCATTTGCTTTCACTATTAACGTGTATTGTACTTACATAACAGATTTTTTAAACATAACTGAGCTATTCTAAATATGTAACTACTGAAACTTGAAAATTATGTGCAGGTGCTGTAACTTGCAAAATGATTTATGAGTGTATATTCATTTTTTTTCTGTTCACTGTTAATTTGCAGTTAAATTCTAAATCTTCGTGGTCAGAAAATCTAGAATTGGTTTTAAATGGATGATGCGTTTTTAATGTTTCTTCTCTCCCTCCAAAGAACAGCAATAGTAGTAGATTTAACAATACCATAGACTCATGACTATGAAATCGTGGCTATTTGTGTTAACATGTTGTTCCTGTTGTTGATGTGATACAAAGCTCCTGCAAAACAGCTGGCACAGTCCAGTGCACTGGCTTCCCTCACTGGACTCGGTAAGTATGTTCCTTATTTTTGAGAGGGCTTAAAGGGGGAGTTTCACTCTTGCCTTGCGTTTCTAGAAATTGCATTTTGAAACTAGATTTTAATTGCCCAAGAGTATGGGTCACTTTCCAATAACTTTATCAGCACCTTTGTTTGTTCCACAGGTAATCCTACTGATATAAGTGGGATGGTTTTTGGAGTAAAGGACTAGTCAGTGTGAGTTAGCGTATGACAATCTTGCCCTAATTTTGAAAATACATAAAAACTTTAGATAAATTTATTTTTCAAAATATGATTGTTTCAGAAGCACACTGCAGTCTTCAGAGAGAGGAATACTGTTTTATATTTTTCTCCTATTTTGATGCATCCAAACAAGAAGGGAAAGTTGATAGAAGAGTAATGTGAAAATCTATGAATAAGAATACTATAATCTTTGGAATTATTGTTTTATTGAAAAGCTACATAAGCACAGACGCGACCATATCATATATTACCAGAAACAACACAGGAAAAAGAGATTGAAATTCCAGCTTGAGACACAACAGCAAAAGATCTTGCCCAACATGTTTTTTATCATCTAAAACATACTACAGCAGTGTCAGTCATCAGTTATGCGCTTGTTGTGTGGAATTCTGATTATTAGATTGAATGTTATCATCACAAGTATTCACATGTTTTAAAACTAACTCAATAAAGATCATAAGAACCTCAGACTGAAAGAAAGTAAAATATCTCCATGTCAGATGTTTAAATTGACTTTATCTTTCTTATCAGTCCAGTAGTTACTAATATCTCTAGGGGAGAAGAAAGTCCATTTCTGTTCCATCTCCATACCTGTCAAAGTGCAGTGTTTTCTAAATCAATGTAGAAAACTTGATATGGCATTCAGAATTTCTGTAGCCTTGGACTACGGAGGCGGCTGAAGTCATTTCAGAGATGTCTTCTGGGAAAGGTCCCAGGCATTTTCTGTGCGGTTGCTGATACAGAGGCAGGCACTGTTACGATCTCTGCAGGGAGCTTTTTTGCCCTTCCATACAATGGAAAAAGTACCGTGATCACAGTGGTTGCTTGCCGAAAATAGACGAGCTGTTCCAGAAGGAGTAGAACCAGACAGTGAGCATCAATGCAGATATGGGGGCCTTGATCACACCAGTCAAACAACATTGGCACTTACCAGAATAAAGTGACTTCTTCAGAGAAGAGGAAGTGGAGGAAGGGCAATGTTACTCTCCTCTTTGCCCCACAGAAATATTAAGAACAAAGCTTAATCTTTCCTCGTGATAGACTGGACTTTATGCACGCAGGTGGACTGGGTGGTTATGGATCAGGAGACAGTGAAGATGAGAGGAGTGACAGAGGCTCTGAATCATCTGATACTGATGATGAGGAATTACGACACAGAATCAGGCAAAAACAGGAAGCATTTTGGAGAAAAGAGAGAGAACAGCAACTACTACTAGAAAAACAGCTAGAAGGTAAATCATGTGATTCTTACTATGCTGCTGTGTATGGACTTTACTACTTAGTATATGTAAATTAGTGGGAGAAAAAACGCATTCTAAGCCAGATTTAGAAATAATGTTCTTTTAATTAAAAGTTTTAACAAAAAAGATCTTTGAGCTACTTGATCAAAATGGGGTTTGCTGCTTTTCTTTCTAGTAAGAGAAAAAAATCCATGTGGTGTTTTCCCTAAACTATTCTACTTTAGTGTTAAAAGAGCAGACATGGTGCATATGTATCTATATGCTGTAGATACTGTGCTATATAAATAATAGTATTGCTTTATAAAAATGCACATGTGTGTATAAGGTATTTTTAAAAAATTATTAGCATCTCTGTCATGACTGGGGGATAATTTCACCCTTCTGCTGGTGACTGCAGTTTATACAAACTTGATTCCTTAAAGTTGTATCCTCTTAAGTATATGAAGCACGTTTAATGTCACCTGAAAAACTTGCTTTTCTGTTACATAATCTTGTGCAGTGCACCTTTCAGAATGTACAGTGGGAGGCTTCAGTTTCTTTGAACTCACTGTTTGCAGTTGTAGTTGAGGTTTGTGTCCATATGCTGCATCTCCATAACTGGGTTTTAATACCTAATACCGGGGAAAGATTATTGAATCCAGTCAGTTCACACTTAGCCTCTGAGAAGTTGACAGGCTTGATTTTTAAAAAAAAAAAAAAAAAATCTCTTACTTCTGCTTCTCCATACAAGGTAAGGTTTGTCCTTTTGTACCAATAATTTAGGTGAAAAGGGTATCACAGTTGTCACCTTGCACTGCTGAAGAGCAGTCTAGGTCTGCTATGAATATGAGATGAATACAATGGTAAGAAGATACGATCTAAGTTCATAAGCTGGAGGAGGAAGAAAGTGCTATTAAGATAGCATACTTTTTTCTTATTTTGAGATGAATTATTTCCTTCTTTTACTTTTTATTTTAAAGGCCTGGAAATAAGACATACGGATCCCTTAATAAAAGGCTAAACTAGCTAAACTTTTGGTTTCTTTAATATTCATGTCTCTCTCTGAGTGTTTTAAGATTTATGTATAAAAGGATAGCTGTATGGAGAGTGACTGAGTGGTGGCCTGTGACCTCTGTCTTCCAAGTTCAAGAAGGCAAATGCCAGTTTGGGGGCATCTGCATGGGGCTATGTACAGAAATACAAATCTAGAGTAAAGAAGCTGATTCTATACATCCAAAATACCAAAGAATATTAAATGCAGGATCTCATTTGTAGCAGTATTTAGGAGAGGCAGAAGATTTCTGATATACAATACAGCATCTTCTACTGGACACGGACTTCTGCCTGTATTACCTATTAACTTAGGGACCAGATGGAATTGTTTTCTGGGTTAGACTTGACCATCATAGAATGGTTTGGGTTGGAAAGGACCTTTGAAGATCATCTAGTCCAACCCCCCTGCCATGGGCAGTTGCCATTTGGATCCCACTGGGTTTCCGTGTGTGGTTTTATTCCCTAAGTTAATTCAGAAACTGTTGGCCCACATCAGAAGGCCATTTTTTGGCTAAAAATGTTGTATGTCAGCTATTTTTTCTGGGTTCAATTAAAAATGGGGAGGGGAGATAAACTTGGCCAGTGATGCAAAGAATCCTAAGTTGAATAGAAATAAGTAAAACTTTTTTTAGTCAGAAACCGCTGGAAAATGCTCTGAGGGTCTAAATTTCTTTATTTTGCTATATGAAAATCTTGGCCTGACACTCATTAAGTTACTTTGAAGAAATTTATTTTTAATTCTTCTGTTGTCTTCTTACCACGTTTATAGTATTTGCTGACTACCAAACTTACATATAATCCCAACGGATATTAACTTTTTGGTATGTAAGAGCTTCACCATCTATATGTATTAAATGCTGTGGTCTTAACTTTTAAGCTGAGTCTTAAGCAAAGAGGTATCGCCAGGTCTCCTTTTTGTACTATTCCTCTCTTGCTTGGAATTCCTAGTTAGCATTTAGGACTAATCTAAGTTATCCTTGGAAAACGCCATAATACTGGTATTTTCTTTCAAAAAACAAACTTGCATCACTACAGCAGAAGGTACTTCGACTTTTTTTGGGTAATGAGGCCTGCGACACATAGAGGTACAGCCAACATTGCTCTACAGTTGAGAGGCCACCCATGCAGTGTATGGGAAATACAGCTTCTTCAGACCAGCCAGTGATTGCCCAATCCCAGATGAACGGGGCTGGAAGGAAGGCAGGAAGCATAGGTACAGTTGGAGGAGTACTGAAGGAGGCAGAAGGGGAGAATCGGGTGTGCCAAAAGGTTGCAGGAAGAAAAAGTATGTGTGTGTAGATGAATTTGGGAGTTCTGGTGCTCCAGGATATTTATTTGAGAACTTTGTCTTATGCCGCTGAAATGTGAAATGACATGAAGCGCTTCTAAAAGTGTTTGGGATTGTATGCTTTTTCTAAACCAGGAGGACAACTTTTCTAAAATAATAAAAAAAAGAAAATAAGTTGTTTAGTGGGTAGTTGGTATGATGGCAGACAGTGTATTAATTATAAGTACTGTGAAAAGTGCTTGGAAATTTGGTTTTGCCAAAAGTAACAGCACTGAAATTACTGATATATTACTCCAAATTAATTGCATTTTTCTTTTTTCAGAAGAAAAGCTACAAAACGAAAAAATTTCAAAGGAGATGAATGAATTTACCAACAAAGAACAAAATAGTAACTCGGCATCACAGGAGGCAAAAGAACTTGAAGCAGATATGGTTCATGAAAAGAAAAGATCTCCAAATGCAATCGCACCCGATCTAGAACTCAAAAAAGAGGGTAAAGAGAGGACAGGAAGGAGTGGGTCAGGAAGCTCTAGCAGTGGTAGCACTAGCAGCAATAGCAGAAGCAGTAGCAGTAGCAGCACTGTATCTAGTTCATCCTATAGCACTAGCTCAGGTAGTAGTCGCAGCTCTTCGCGTTCTTCCTCTCCCAAAAGGAAGAAGAGACACAGTCGCAGTAGGACGCCTTCACATAAAGTTAGGCGCAGTAGAAGCAGGAGTTACTCCCACAGAAATAGGAGAGAGAGGAGCAGGAGCAGGGAGAAAATAAGGGAAAGGAGAAGATCTAGTAGAAACCGCAGTGCTGAAAGAGGGGAGAGGCGAAGAAATCGGAGTCCTTCTCGAGAGAGAAGCTGGGATAGACGTAGAAGTAGTAGCCGTTCAAGAGACAGGCGAGCCAACCGTGCGAGCCGCAGCAGAAGCAGGGACAGACGTAAAACTGAAGACCAGCGTAGAAGCCCTACTGGAAATAGGCACAAACATAAAAGTGAGGGTAAAGATCAAGAAAAGAAGAAGGAGCAGAGTGGAGGTGTAGATAAAGACAGAAAAAAGAACAGAGAAAGGGAGAGAGATCAGGAAAAAAGAAAAGATAAGCCCAAAAAAGAGGAAAAAGAAAGTAAGGCTGGCAATCATGACGACAGTAGATTAAAGAGGAAAAGAGACAGCGAAAGAACTTTCTCTCGCAGTGATTCAATATGTGTGAAAATAATAAGGCAGGATTCCAGACAAGAAAGCAAAAAAATTTCTACCAAAGATAGCAAAAAACGGTCAGGCTCCGAATCTAGTGCGAGGAGTAGTTCTGAATCGCCAGGAAGCAGTAAAGAAAAGAAGGCTAAGAAATCGAAGCATATTCGGTCATGCTCCATGGAGAAATCTCAAAGGTCTGGTAAGAAGGCAAGCCGCAAACACAAGTCTAAGTCACGATCAAGGTAGTATACTTTTTAAGTATTTTGTCTGACTTTTTTTTTTTTATTTTTTGCTATTCGTCTTCATGTGTACGGCATATGAACTTTTTTAAAAATAAAGTATGGTATTTATTAATTTTTTTGTCTTAGGCAAAAGTAACTTTGGAAAAATCTTTTAAAGCTATTAATTACTAAGCCTAAAGTGTGTGTGGGTTTGGGGGTCTTCTATTTTTTTCCAATTAACTTTTTCCCCCTTTTCCTTTATTTTTCAGATCAACAACTCCTCTTCGTCGTAAACGCTGAGGAATTTATGGCACCAGTGCTATGACGTTTAAAAATTCCATGAGTTATAAAAGGCTTGTCTCATTATAGAGGCACATTGTGGCTATGTAGGTGAAACCAGAATCCTTTTTTTATCTGTAAATAGGTGTATTTTTTCCAAATGCTGCTCAGATTAAATACCTAATAGGATTTCTTTGTATTGCATTTTTTCAAGAACGGTAGTGCTTATTAAGAATATAAAACATGCCATTCTCTTTCAGCTGTAATGTTCTTAAAATTACTATTGAATGTACTGTGATGTCAATAAAGCTCTTTAGTTCATTTTTTGTTTAAAATTCTTGCACCTGAATTTTGTGTTAAATTGTAGAAAGTACTTTTTTTTTTTTTTAAGAAAAGAAAAAGGCAGCTTTTTTTGGTATAAAAAATTTTTAAAGTACTTGAAAAAGATTTTAACATAAAACACTTGTTAAAGTATGTAGTCCATGGACCTGATGAGATTTATCTATTGGGGGTGTGTGGAAGAACAAAGAAAAGACGTCATATTTTTTCTTTAGATATGTGTAACAGATTTTTAATATTCCTTTTCATTTGGGCTAGCAAGTAATATATGCTGTGTGTGTAAAATATGGGTCACTGTAATACAAGCTATACTTAAAACAGACTGAACCCCATTAGGAATACGTGCGACTAACTGATCTTGTGTGACAGTGTTAAGCTCTGGAACTATATTCCTCACCCAGTTTTCAGAGAGAACTTTCTGGACGTTCAGGGATATTACAGGAACAAGACTCGGTATTTCAGATGTTTTTATGGAATATAGTTATAAATGGCACTCAATACACATTAGAAAACCGATAATAGGTTAAGTTTACATTTTGGCACATGCATTAAATGTGTAGTAAAAATTAAAGCTGAATATTTTTGTTAGTGTTAATGAGAATTGTGATTCCTGCAAAGCCAATACATTGATTAGACAGCAACGTAACTAAATTTTTGTTTTTAATATCACCCTAAAGTGAAAGGTCACTGTGATTACCTCCTTCTTCAGGAAATGAACTATTGCTGTTAGTAACAAGAGTGTGAAATAATACTAGTTAAAAAAAAAAACCCAAGAATGCACAACCCTAGGCCAGTGACTGTTACAGAAGAACACTAATTCAGGAAGAGACTGGAGATCGGTGCCTAGAAGGTCTGGTATGATACCAGTTGTGAAAAAGATAAAAGGCTTAACATCAAAGTATGATCTCTTTGGCTGTATCGTCTTAAGAAAAAAAACTCTACTAGTACTGGCAACTTGCAAAGCATGTCTTTGTGAACAGATGAATCCATTTACTAAAATTAGAATTCAGCTACGTAGCATTTTTGCCAATGTAATTTTTTTCATAAATTAGATGCGGAAGTAAACTGCTTCAGTGCAAAGAATCACATTTTAACTATACATTTATTAAGCAAGCTAGTGGCTGGCGAATACATGCATGTTGATCAAAACACTTACAGAGAAATAATTAGTTAATCAGTTATAAATAACATTTCCCCCCAATTAAGTCCTTTTACATAGAGTAAGCAGTCACACCTATTAGCAAAATAGGGCATAATTTGCAACACACTGGTTTTACTTGCATTGGTATGGATATAAATAACAATGTATTAATCCAATCTCAGTACACTATTGGCTCTCGGTAAAAGTGAGGATTTTTTGAAGAATAGGTAGCATAACACTTCAGATGCCTTAGAAGGATGTCTCGAGAGAGACTGAAACTAGAATTGAGTTTAAGAAAATTTATTGAGGAATACAGTTTCCATGATGCATTGAATTTGATTTTTCAGTTCAGACTTTATATTCTCTGTCTAATAATAAAAAAGAGATTGTGTATGAAAAGCTTTATATACTCTGCCAACAACTGGAATTCTGTCACTTCCTGTAAATATGAAAATTATTTTTTGACACAAATGCACTTATATGGGTAGTGACTGTATGCCAATAAAAAGAGCATACGATCTCTGTATTTAACTGTTTCAGAAATCTTACTAAACAGCATACTCAGCACACCAGTGATTAAAAATATATCGGTACTATGTCACCTTCACATACATTAGACTTCTTGGTGTTTCAGTAACTCCCTTATGAATGTTTTTCAGTGCTAAAGGCTAAAATAACATCCAGTCTTTGATTCCATACATCTGAAGTGAGCTTAAATTAATACATGTGCAAATATATAAAAAAATGGGAATGTATCATTTTGCAAAAGCCTAAATTGGGTTGTTGCTCTACTCTTTTACGTTTTTAAATAAACACTTGACAATATTTCAGGACTTGTGCACTGTAGGAGAGCCAAGACATAAAATTGTGAATGTCATGCAGCCGCTCTGAGGCAGTTCCCTTGAAAATTTTTTTTTTAATAAATAAGGGAGGGTGTGGAATCAAGTGAAAAGTGGTTTCCATGCAAATACTGTTTTGAAGATGAATACAACAAAACCAGTGTGAGTACGTACCCCGCGGTACCTGTTACACCATCGAAGAACAGGAGCTGGCTGCGGCCATGGGTAGGCCAAACAGGAGCAGTTGGGTAAAATACTCATAACTTTAAAGACTGAGCAACTACACAGTTTGTGAAACGTGGCATGGTAACTGGTTTGGAAAAAAAACCCTGTTACCTGTGTCTTTGAGGCCCTGTCTTGTGGGAGAGGTTAGAGTCTAGGCTGCCGCATTTAACCGCTGTTATCTCAAGATCTGTGTTTAATAATAGAAAAATGGAATAGCTACCTCTTGTTTAAAACCAGCCTAGCCTATTAAGTAAAATACTTGCCATTGTGCAGGTATTTAATTGCTTGTTACTAAAATTTTAAAAATCACAAATATAAAAACGATGTAAGGATTGGCTCTCTTTCTCCAGATAATTGCCTTCACTTTGCTAAATAAAAGTTATCAGTTAATCTGCATAGGTAATATGCAGAAGCACACTTTGAAGGAAGGATTAGTTTTGTGTCTCAGGGAGACTGTGTCTTGGCATAAAGGACTTCCTTGAGGTCTGGTTCTTTGGTAGCTCTGAGGTGTTATTAATGACTGGTAAGTCCACTGCACCGTGAGCTTTGCTGGGTGGAAAGTGAGTGAGCAGGGAAGCGGTGCACACACACACTAAGCAGGTTTGCTGTAAATTTAATTGCTGCCGAGACAAGGTTCTTTGAGACCTTTCAGTAGTCTTTATTTAGTTTGGGGTTTTTTTTAATTTAAAAATAATCCAAACTGACTACTACATGAATTACACTGATTTTACAGGAGACCTGTAAGAGGGCAGATTTCAAGCAGCGAGGGTGGTAGCACCGAGCAAGGTCAGTCAACAGACTGGCGTTTGGTAGAGGAAAAAGTCCAACCATGACTGGTTATACTGCTCCAAGCCTCTCGCTGCTTGGAGGGTGCTCCTCCCCCTGGCTTTCTGCACGCTGTGCCTCCCGCCTGAGGATGCCAGCGTCCGCACAGCCAGGCAGGGAACCCTGCCGCTGCCGTGGTCTGCCTGGAGAGCACGGGAGTGCTGCCAGCGGCTGCATCCATGGCTCATCCCTGCCTTGCTCTGCACCTCTCCCTTCCAGCCAGCTTTGGTTTTCATGGGACTTTCTCATAAGACCTGCAGCTCAATAAAGTGCCAGAAAACAACTATTTTTTTAAAAACTTGCTTAATTCTTTACCATTTAAGCATGTTAAACTAGCTCACCATGGGGGATCTGAAAATGTTGAAGCTGGCCACGGGGAAGGAGAAGGGGAAGAAGAGCTCCCAGTGTCTGTCAGCTTTGAAGGGCCAGCGCTGCTCGCAGCAGCGGCGTATGGATTCAACCGTCCCCGACTGGGCAGCGGTGCCTCGGCAAGGTAGCGGGGAAGGCAGTAGCCCTCTCCCTCCTGGGCCGCTGCCCGGACTGTGCCTGCAAACCGTGAGACGGCAGCAAACCAGCCTGGAGGGCTCCCAAGAGGAAGTGCGCAGGAGTTTTGTCTGAAGCCCAGCCACCCCGGTGGCCCTAGGGCTTTGCTCGTGCAGGCTGTTGGGTATCGGTTCTCCCCTCCACCCCGTGCCTCCCCTCTCCCAGAAGTGAGGAGTCTTGTAATTTGGGCTCTCCCCTGCAAGTCCAGTGTGTTGCTTGGTAATAAAAGAGACTGCAAGCTGATAGCTAATCACTGTCATCCGAACAAGCCTCTGCTAAAGGAGTGTTTTCTTATTCCATGACATGCAAGGATCAGGTCCACGTGCAGGAGTAAGGGGGCATAAATTTAAATAAAATCACTGCCTTAATTTTCAGCAGCGCTTCCAGGTGAAGCCGTGGCGACACATGCCACGACACACCCGTGGGACAACGCGGGCTGTATCAGCGGTGTTGCAATGCAAACTGCATCAGGACACTGCAGTGCTTCACTGTTGGGAAGGGAAAGGGAAATAAAATGGTTTTTCTTGCTGCTGGTACCATATCTTAAGCTGGAATCTTTTTTTTTTTTTTAAAAAAAAAGCTTGAATAAGTGCTTGTAATGGTCTGTCCAGCGTTTTGTTTTGCTTCCCTTACATTTTATAAAATAAGTATCCATAACATTTTAACAATAAATATTATAATCATAGACTGGTATAGAGTTGGAAGATACTTTAAAGATCATCTAGTTCTGACCCTCTGCCATGGGCAGGGGCACATCCCACTAGATCAGGTCACTCAAAGCCCCATCCAGCCTGGCCTTGAACACCTCCAGGGATGGGGCATCCACACGTCTCTGGGCAACCTGTTCTGGTGTCTCACCACCCTCACAGTAAATAATTTCTTCCTAAAATCTAATCTAAATCTACCATTTTTCAGTTTAAAACTGTTACCCCTTGTCCTATTACTACATGCCTTAGTAAAAAGTCCTTCCCCAGCTCTCCTGTAGGCCCCCTTTAGGTACTGGAAGGCCACAATAAGATCTCCCCGGAGCCTTCTCTTCTCCAGGCTGAACAGCCCCAACTCTCTCAGCCTCTCCTCATA